CTATATATATATATATAAAAATATATATATAAATATAAAACCAATATTTGGATTTATGAACCAGAAAATATAAAACAGACAAGTTAAATCTTACCTATGGAAATCTAGGCTCGTTAGATAAATCCTAGGTCATTAACCTGTGGCTACTTTAGAATTGCTTTAATCTTAGAAATCTACTTCAGAAAATTAAATCCATTGCAGATAAATGCTGTCAATTTTTTATTGTTAGTTGCTGTCAAATCAGTTCTACTCGCGACAACCCTACGCGTTACAGAGTAGAACTGTTCCATAGGGTTTTCTTGGCTGAAATGTTAACAGAATCAGATTGCCAGGCCTTTCCTTCCACAGTACCGCTGGCTGGGTTCGAACTGCCAACCTTTAGGTTAGCAGTTGAACACAAACCATTTGTGCCACCTAGAGATCTTACTGTCTATTTAGATGTTACAATAATTCAACCTGTTAACTATTTGCTCAGTTCAGACAGCTACTAGTGGGAAGGATGTCTAGACTCCCCCCAACTCTCACCCCCATATAAAGGTCCCATATCCTAAACACTTTGTAATTTATTTTTACCAAATTAGCTAACCTACCTATAAATTATTGATAACAAACATACATCAGCTAATTTTACTCTTGTAAATTAAATATTCCCCTGAACACTATCATTTTCTCTGTAGGATATGTGTTTTTTGTTAGTCTTTGGTTTGGTAGTGTGAATAAGTTAAGCAGTTCCCTCACAGATTCTCTTGGTGACCGTTGGTATTCATTTGCAAGAAAGCTATCAGAATGTATTTCTAGCCATGAAATAGTTTTTACCTTATAGGAAACTATTTTCTTCATCCAAAGAACAAACTTCCTTTTATTATAACCTTCTTAACCTTTTTAAAAAAATTGTTCTTTCTTTCCTTTTCTGCTTCTACCTAAATAGATTTTATGGACCACCCAATGAAAACTGGCTGCTAGGCTATAACTCACCTAGCCTTCACAACAAAATGGATGCTTTTTTTCTTCTTAATTTTTTTTCTCTTGTATCAGACTTCTCTGCTAGGCTCAAAATCAAGAAAAGGGATAGTGTGGTAGGGAGAATATTTCTTGATTCTTTTTCCAGCCTGATTGAGTTCTCTAATAGCCCAAGGCACTAATGTGCTTTGGGGGTTGTAACTTACAAAATAAGAGAAGTCAGAGATAAATATTTGTGTGCATATGTCTGTGTCTCTGCATTGCACAAGCAGACAGGCTGTGCTCAAACTTCCAGGCAGCCATAAGACTGCTAGGAATGAGACACATACACCCACTGGCATCAGCCATTCTATGGGTGCTGCATTCATCTGTGATCAAGCCAGACACGCAAGACACTTACACAGTGTTGGCAAAGTGAAAACCATTATTATTTATAGAAAGCAAATGGTGAACAGTAACAACGGATTCTCAAAAGGAGAACCGCTTATCCTTCCCCAAATTACCCATGTCCGTCTTATCTCCCTAGTCAGGCACGCCGTGGTTCAGGTCAGATGTCAGATGCTTTCTTCAAGTCACCACTGCCTCTGGCTACCACCACACTGTGCTGCTTAGGGGGCCTGCACAGCTCCCGAGGCTTCTGCTGTGCCACTGGGCCTTGCTGACCTCTGGTTCCCTTGCTTTGCCGCTGGGCCTTTCTAAGCCTCTCTGCAGGCTCCTGCCACGCTGCCTGGGCCTGCGGGGCTCTCTTGCTGCCATGCTGCCTGGGCCCCCACTGCCCAGGGGAGGAGGCGTGCAACCCCTGCATGGTGTATGCCCAGGCCTCTCTTGCCCTGCACAAGCACACATTACAGCTCTTTTAGCTCCACTGACAAGCCTCCTGCCCAGAGGCATCCAGGTCCGCCTTGCTGTAGGAAGACCCCTGCACAGGATCCTTTGAGGTAACCCCTACACAGGGCACACTCAGGCCTCTGCCCTGCATGGGCAAGTGTTACAAATCTTTTAGCTCCACCAGGAAGCCTCCTGCCTGAAGGTGCTCAGCTCTTACTCCATGGGCCAGAAAGCCCACCACAACCATCTCTCACGATCCTGTGCCGTCCTCAGCATTTACTCTTTCTTGTGGATCTAGGAGCTTCTCAACAAAGGGACCCTGGGTCCAAAGGACACTCTGCTCCAGATGCTTCTTGATGCTAGTGAGGTTCACCAAAGCCTCTGTGGGATTGGCCCTTATATTTAATTTAAAGGTTCATGGCCCTCCCCCCAGGACCACGAACTGACCAATACCCTCAGTAGACCACAATTCACTTAATTTGCATAGTCCCTGCCAGTCATTTTGTGGAAGTTACGAGACCATAGCTAGAAGGGCTATATAAAAGGAATTCATTGCACTGCACTGTTTTTAAGTTTTCTGAAGCTTTCATTTTGAAGCTCCTTGTAAATCATTGGTGTCAACATCAGATGATATTTCAAATTGTGTTTCTTTAAAAAAAATTGAAACATAACTATTTGTTTACCAAATTTATTTGAAAATGTATGCCTTCGTACAATGAGCTGCCCCTAGCTAGTTCTTGGGAAACCTCTGTAAGAGAGCCTGAGCTGTACATGTGAGTGTTGTGTGTCCTCAGCCTGTGCCTACAACTGCTGGTGCCTCTGTGTGTATGCCCCTGGTATGGAGCCTGGAGCATTGTTTGTCCACTTTCGATTTGAAAATGGGAGCATTGGATCACCAAGATCAATGGTTCTCCAAGTTATTTTAACTACAAACTTCCGTTAAATTTTATATGGACACATAGTCATCCTTCATTTGGTGAGGGATACAACAGAACTAGGTGTGTAATGTTATTTAGTAATTCCTTTTACTTATAAAGAGCGACTGTTATTTATTTCATTAATTTCGTTCCTGTGTGGAGAAGGTAAGTGACAAATAGTTTTTTCTCATATTTGCAGGACCAAGTTAGCCCTTTTTTAATGGTGAAGTAGCTTACTATTCCTTCTGTGTGATTTGGAGTGGGTCATGAATGAGAAGAAGCCTCTTGGCACATATGTGCTTGTTAAATATTTGCTGAAAACAAACACTCACACACACACACACACACACACACACACACACACACCCCTACCTGCTAATGTGCCCAAGAATGAAAATATTCCTCCTTTGAGACTTCCTTTCAGTTAGTTTATTATATATCCAGAAGGTCTCTGTATTAACATGCAATGTGTTTAGCCAGGGAGCAGTATTAACCCATAGCAGCAAAGCTTGGGTTATTTATCCAGTGAGGCAGTCACTTGTGACACAGATTCTGCAAATATTGAAGGGCTTACTTAGACAAGCAAAAGAGCAAAGCAGGAAGCACCACTTTGCTTTTCCCTTCCCAGCTTTGGATTTATTGAGTACTTACTATAAGGAAGACACTGTTCTCTGTTCTAAAAGTGGCAAAGGATACAAAGATTAATAAGATATAGACCCTACCCTTAAGGACTTTAGAATCTACTCCCAGAGGTAAGGGAAATATTTAAATGTCTGTAACACAAGGTAGAGAGTTGTAAGTGCTGTACAGAAATATAAACAAGATATAAAATTATTTCAGAGATAGGAGAGATTTTTCCAGGCTTATACATATCCACACTGCAATTTCCAGACCAAAAAAAAAAAAAAGAGAGAGAATTACCAGTTTCTACAGTTAGAAAACCATCAGGTAGTTTCCTTCCCTCTTGCTCTTATTAAGGAGCCCTGGTGCTGCAGTGGTTAAAGCGCTCAGCAGCTAATCAAAAGGTCAACAGTTCAAACCCTCCAGCCACTCTATGGGTGAAAGATGTGGCAGTCTGCTTCCATAAAGATTTACAGCCTTGGAAACCCTGTGGGGTCTCTATGAGTCGAAATCAACTCGACAGCAGTGGGTTTGGTTTTGGTTTTGCTGTTATTATTTACTTATTTGCATGCCTTTCCTTTCTGCTGAGCTATAATCTTTTCATAGCAGAGTATATCTTACTCTGTGTATCCTCAGTTTCTAGCTGTGCCTGGTTTATAAGATGTACTCAATAAATATTTGTTGAAGAGTGTATGTATCTCTGGAATGTGTTTTATGGTACCTGAATGACTAGGCCAGGACCTCAGTGAAAGTAAGTTATAAATGCAGTTACATTTCAATTGTCAATGAGTGATAAATTACAAATAATCCTGTTTTTAAGTGTTCACCTACAATTTTGGCTAGAAAATGTTATTCAAATTTATCATCGAATGATCTCTAAGATCTTTCAAGCTTTGAAAATTTTGTGATTTTACAATTGCTTATGGGGAGAAATATATTAAAAGTATGATCATCTTTCTATATCTTTTTCTTTGTGTACTTATGACAGTGTCATTCATCTTAGGATGGTTGGGATTAGAGATAAAATTAGGAGTCAGTGTATGGGTGATATTTAATGCTGTGGGTCTGTTTTAAGTCACATAGGGAGTTGAGTAGATAAATAATAATCTTACATAAACTTTTTTTTAGAAGAAAGAAAACTTCTTATGAAATCCTAAAGAAATTCAAGTTTGGGGTTCTTCATTTTACTAAAAAGCTCAATAAGTGTTCAAAATTTAGTGTACTGGTTAAAAATATGGACTCTGAAGCCAGACTACCTAGGTTTGAATCCTAGTCCTTTTATTACTAGTTGTACGATTTAGGCCAAGATACATAATCTCTCTAAACCTGTATTTCCTTATCTGTAAATAAAGATGATAATGGTGCTTCCCCGTAAGGTGGTTGTGAGGATTAACAAATTAATTTAGAACAGGTCCTGACATATAGAAAGCACTCAAAAGAGGATTAACCAATATCATTATTAAATTTCAGCAAGTTTGGACATATGACGTAACATTGCTAACTTGATAACGTTCCACCAGAGCAGGCTATATTTTGGAAGCAGGAGAAATAATTTCTCACCTTTCGATCTTCATGTGAGGACATTTGAAATTGGGAGTTATTGATATTTATAAGTGATTCCCACTTTTGATCAGTGTTTCAGCATCGTATTCTCTCAATTCTGTTCCTGTTTAGGTCACAGCGCTGTCGATATCACCAAGGTGGCTAGAAGACACCGCATGTCTCCGTTTCCTCTGACATCTATGGACAAAGCCTTCATCACAGTCCTGGAGATGACTCCGGTGCTTGGGACAGAAATCATCAACTACAGAGGTACTATTACATTTGCCCGTTGCCCTTTCTTCATTTTTTTTCAAGTAACATATAAAATTAACACAGTTTTCCTGAAATAGAAAAGTTATTAATCATCATCACAATTGTTACTATCATACTTTTTGTTTTTTATTTCTACTCAACTCTAAGGTCAGTCTTAAAGGTATACAGAGTAAAGCACCCATTGTTGTTGTTAGCTACTTTTGAGTCAGCCCCCAACTCATGATGACCCTGTGTACAATGGAATTAAACACTCTATGGTCCTGCCCCATCCCATGGTCAGCTGTGGATTGGACCATTGCGATCCATAGGGTTTTCATTGGCTGATTTTCGGAAGTAGATTGCCAGCCCTTTCTTCCTAGTCTGTCTTAGTTTAGTAACTCCACTGAAACTTGTTCAGCATCATAGCAACACACGAGCCTCCACTGACAAACAGGTGGTAGATGCACATGAGATGTATTGGCTGGGAATTGATCTTGGGTCTCCGGCATGGAAGGCAAGAATTCTGCCACTCAACCATCAGTGCCTCAAAGTACCCAGAAAACCTTCTTTTCTTAAAAAATGGGAAAATATCAACTGTGTTGCTGCTGCCCATCAAAATACCAATACTCTGTAATCCCTGGGTGGTGCAAACAGTTAACTTGCTTAGCTGCTGATCAAAAAGTCGGTGGTTCGAGTTCACCCAGAGATCCCTTGGAAGAAAGGCCTGGCGATCTACTTCAGAAAAATCAGCCATTGAAAATCCTATGGAGCACAGTTCTCTTCTGACACACGTGGGGTCACCATGAGCTAGAATCTACTCAGTGGCAACTGGTTAAATGAAAGAAAGGGCCGTAAGCACTAAGTGAAGAATATAGTTAACCCTGAGTCTATCTAATGCCTTTTCTGTCAGAAATGGGAGATCACTAATGTATCTTGTAATCCTGTTTTCCTGTTGTGGAAACCATGTATGTAAAATGTAAAAAATAATTTGTCCACAGAATTACTAAGCCACCAGTCTGATCTCACTTTTACTGTTTTATCTGTCTTCCCATTTTCTGCTCTTAGTGCATTGAGAGCAGCTTGTTGAAGACAATAGAAAGGTAGTCTTCCCCAGTGTTTTCAGTGTTTAATCAACAACTTCCATTTCTAAAAATTCAGCATAGAAGTTATTTTCATTCATTCTGAATAAAATACAGCTTTTTAGTTGTTCCCTTATGTTACTAAAAACAACATAAAAAGATTGATTTTTTTTAGATAAAGGCTATCATTTGCAGAATGATAAAATATTCAGACTGGAATGTGCATTAGAGAGCATCTATACAAACAGCCTAATTTTTCAGTAAAGAAACTCAGGCCCAGGTAGAACAGCCAAGAAGAAATAGGATTAAGGTCTCAAGACTTCCATTCTTCTTTTTAACTATATGACGGTGCACTTCTTCTAGTATTAAATTAAAAAAAAAAAAAGATAACGTATCAAATGATATTAACTTAAATTGAAAAATCCTAAACTAGAGGAATATTAGATGCCAGATTCTAATCTCTTTGGTCCCTAATCCTACTTAGACAAAAATTGTCTTTATACAGTTGTGCTTATCCTACATCTTTTACTTTCATTCTTTTAGATACGTATATCATTAGGCTTAAACCTTTTCTTTTGATATTGTTTTACTCCTCATTAAAGAAAATAGAGATTAGAAAACTCACTAGAGTAGAAAATTAATCTATATGATTCCAGAAATCAATTTTATTGAAAAAAGTTTATTTCTATTATTAAACGCAGAATATTCAGATAATTATTGCTATCATTTGACACCAAGGCAATTTCAGAAAATATGAATGTAAACTTAAGTTGGGAAAAAATTTAATAATGCTTTACCTTTTATAAAAATTAACTATTCCTGGCCTCTTGTAATTTCAGGGACGTTTCCCTTAACATCAGTTTTTAGAAAAATCTAACTGTGTATGCCACATCACATTTACACTGAAGCCCCAGTCCTTTTAAAGGAAAAAAAAAGTTGAAAATGGCCATTCCTACTTTTCTTTCAGAAAAAAATGCTATCAGACAAGTTCTTTTTTCCCTTCATGTGCTTGTTTCCCCTTCATTTATAAATTAAATCAGTTCTCACTCATAAGTAAGCAAACTCTTCGTGCATGTTCTGTGTCAAGTAGTTCCACCCATGATGATGAAAAATAATAATGAGCTTTGTATTCAACTTTCGAGTTGGCTCAAACTCAATTTTTTAATGCAAAAGAGGATTATAATTAGACCTATGAGGTACTTTAGTTAGGTGTGTAGAAAACATCACCATGTATAAAAACATAGTCCAGTGTATTCAACAAATATTTATTAGCTATCTACCAAATATCAGGTACTATGTTAAATCCTGGAAATACAAAGATAAATAAAATAAAACTCCTGCCCCATGGAATTCACAGTCTACTGCAGGAGAGAGATGGGTAAACATGTGGTGCTTGTCTCTTTTATTGGCTTCTTTGCAGGCTTGCCTTCCATTATTAGTTCCTTGAATATAGACTTTAGAGTTTTAGTCTTTGGCCCTTTTCACATCTTGCACATTCACTTCAGATGACCTCATGCATGCCAGTGGTTTCAAATATCACCTATAAAATTATTTCTAAATCTATATCTCTGCTCAGACCTTGTTTAGTTCCAGCGCATATACCAACTGTATTACATACCTCCTACTAGTAAGTTTAAAATAACCAATACTAAATCGGTTTTCTTTATCTCTGTAATACTTGTTTCCTTTATATCCTCTTGACCCCATTCCCTGTTCTCCATCCCCACTGCTATTGTATTATTTTAGGTCCTTATTACTAACTTCCTGGATTATTGCAACAGTCTCCCTGCCCCAGTTAGGATCTTCCTAATCCATTCCCCAATTTGATGGCAAAATAATCTGTTTACATGGAAAATTTGTTGTTAGCATTTCCACACATACAGCTCTTCAGTAGTCCTCCTCATAATGTCAAGATAATATCCAAACTCCTTGACAAGTCATATAAGGCCCTTTAATTTCTTCCTACATTTTTCAGTTTCTTCCCTTACCTCCTTGTCATCGAAACCAAATCCAAACGATGCTGTCGGGTCGATTCCAACTCATAGTGACCCTATAGGACAGGGTAGAACTGCCCCACAGGGTTTCCAAGGAGTGGCTGGTGGATTCAAACTGCCGACCTTTTGGTTAGCAGCCATAGCTCTTAACCACTACACCACCAGGGTTTCCTTCTTCTTGTCAGCTCTTGCTTTTTCCTAAACCTGCCATGCTGTCTCTTACCTCTTGTTGTCATTTATCTCCAAGCCTTTGCCTATGTTATCTTTTGCTTGGAACAACTTTATCCTACTTTTTTGCCTGACCAACTACTATGTATTCTTTAAGATCAGACTTACGAAGGCTCTCCTTTATGAAAACTGTTTGGAAGTCCACCTCCTCCTTTTCTTACCTGGGTTAAATACTTTTCCTCCATGTTCCCATAATATCTTGTTCATATCTTTTATGAGAGAACTGACTGACATATTTGTTCACTGTCTGTCAGTATGACCTAATAAATGCTGTAAGTGTGAAGCACTGTAAACTGAATTGTCATAAATCAAGAACAACCTGTAAAAATTCTCTTATTGGTGAAAAAGGATTCTCCCCAGTAAAAAAGGATGAGAAACTCATTCTCAATGAACTTTAAAATGTTATCTTTACTAAGGATATTTTCATTTTAATGAGCAAGCCTTCACAGTTCATTTTGGTTACAGCTAGATACACCTGTTACTATTTAATTTCATCCATCAATCACTGAGTAAGAAAATTATTTTGGGGGAGCTGAATGGCCTTCACAGTTCTCCGAAATCCCAAATATTTTGCTTATGTGAATATTCTAACGACTACAATTACAGAAGCACCTAGAGAAAAGCCCATGTTTTGTATGAGAGGTTGTGAACCAATTGACTCTATGAAGCAGTGTGGGACTGTACCATCTCTAAGATGACTTTTTGTCTGTCCAAGAAGGTTCAACAATGATCCCTGAAAACTAGGGATAAATCATTAACAGAAATACTGGAGGTGATTGCGCTGAAGGTTATGTCTATGACATTATGAAGGAATTGTGAAGCATAGTACATTAAATACTTAAAATGTTATAGTAAGAGGATAACTTGGATATCAAGTGGTCTCTCTTATTTTAAAGATGAGAAAACTGAGGACCAAAGAGGTATGATAATGTTCTTAAAATCAGACAGATGGTTATGATTAAAAGCAACTAGGACCCAGGTCTGTTGACTCCGCGTCTGGTGTTCTTTCCACTATACCAGACAGCATCTCAAATCAATATGAAAATTATTTTTCCAAAGCAAGTGCCTAGATGTGCATGCATATAGAAAGTGTTTTTGTTTGTTTTCTGTTTTTTAATCTGTTTTGGCTATAAATGAATTTTCTATTGTCTCTGGTCCGTTCTTTAACGTATCTATGTTCAGCTCCTATCTGCAAGCAAGGCCTTTAAGGAGCAAGAAGTGTTCCACTAATTATAAATAGCCTTCCTTTGGTTTCTTGGGAGAGACATACCTAGCATAACAATGGATGATAACATTAGTGAGACTATCATTTAGGATTCATCTTCTTGTAAAATGCATGACATAAATAAATTACAGCCTCACACTTGATATGATAGTCTAGCTACTTCAAGGTAGATTAAAATATTCTAGCACTATTCCGTGCAATTCCCAATTCTCTTAGTTAACAATGAAAAAAATCATGAGCTTTTAATAGAAAGAATTCTGCTTTCTTTGGAGCTTTATTTTAGATCATGAGCTCCAAACTTTCTTATTTAGGATTACATGGCCAAAGATTTCAGCATCTCTGACCTGAGTTCTTTGTTTTTGCGCAAAAGGTTTCAGCAATTCTAGTAAAGGAAACTTTAAGCTTTGCCCTTGGCACTTAGTTTGAAGCAATGAAATTTCTCTTTTAGAAGCCTGACCACTGCTAATGACCGCCTTGACAGGGAACACAACA